TAATCAGCTAGCCAGTTTCACTAACAGTACTTTTGAGTACACTGTGTTCACATTCAACAGTCTCAACAAGTTGCTGACTACAAATGTTGTTAAGAGGGAGAACTTAAGGGGGGCACACATAGACAAGGGGTAAGGTGACAATTGACTGCTCAGTGTCTCTCATCCTTATATTGTATGTATTCTAACTGAGACATTATGAAGTCATTGTCTTGTGGTTTGTCTGTTGATGAACTAATCATCTCATAATACTCTCCTTCAAACTCTTACTAGTCTGAGTAAACTGGTAAGATGTTTGACTTGTAGTACATGTAGTGCTTTAGTTAATATATCTGCTTGTTGATCATTCGTCTGTATGTATTTCACATTTATGTACTCTAACTCAATGTAGCATTTAATAAAATCTTTCTTATGATCTAAATGCTTTGTTCGTTCTGAATATTTGAGTTTGTCCAATGTAACTATTCATATAACAGCATTGTTATCACAATAGATATTAATTAGTGCATCAGAGACCTGCAGAATCTCTTCAGCTAAATGAGTAAGTACAATTGCTTCCTGTGTTCCTCTTACAAGAGCTATTAATTTAGCTTCATACATTGAATTTGCCACCAGTGTTTGTCTTTTACTTGACTATGAAACTAATGAATTGCTCAAGTAAAATGCATATTCTGATATTGCACAATGCCCTTCTTGCATCATACTGTCTGCATCTGTATAGCCATTCAATATTGATTGATTTGTGCTGCCAAGTTGGAGCCAGACATTGCTCATAGTTTTTAAGTACATGTAACAATGTTTAAGTGCTAGATAATACTCTATACTAGGGTCATTGAGGTATTTTGCTAACTGATTTGTTACAAATGCTATATCTGGCTGTGTACAGTCTGCAATGTATCTAAGTGTACCAACCATGTTCATGTATAGTATATCAGACATTTGTTTTCTATTGTTATCAGTTTGCAATACTGTTTTTAATTGTGTACTAGGCTGTATGGGTGTTTGTACACTTTGTTTGTTTGTAAGTTTGTAACATTCTATTATACTATTAATATAATGTGTCTGATGCATCCTGATGAATCTATGCTCTCTGTTGTGTTGAATCTCTATACTAAGTAGCTAATGTAATTCACTACTGTCTGTATATTGTAAATGATGTACAATAGATTGTTTTATCATTGTAATAGTATTATTATTCTTTGCTGCAATAGTAATATTGTTGACATGTACAAATAATATGGTTACAGTTATTTCTTTCTTCTTTGTGAAGAATACAGTGTTATCATGTTTGGATTTTGTTAATCTGCATTAAGTAGTATAT